CTCAGCCCTCCATTCTCCTCCCACTGGAGCTGGAGCAGGTGCCCAGCCGGCTGGTTCCATCTCAGCCCCCCATTCTCCTCCCGCTGAAGCTGGAGTATCTCTACCCACTGTGTCTGGCTGGGACTTAACAGCAGGACCCTGCAAGCTGCTGGTGACTTTTCAAGAACAAGATGACAGCAAAGGGGACTTGACCCATCTGCTCCCTGACCCTTTGATGGTCACCCACAGACACTTTCTAGAATGGGTCTGTATGAAAAAAATTAATTTAAAAACAAAACACCCACACAGGAGTATAAAGAAAACCAAGTATACCTAGATACAAAAGCCACTCCGGAAGTGCTGCGGATAGTCTACAGCTGTGCAGCTTCACCCCTGGAGGGAGGTGAAGAAGAAAAAGAAGACAAGTTGCCCTGGCTGTCCTGGAGCTCACTCTGTAGACCAGGCTGTCCCAGAACTCAGAGAGCCACCTGTCTTTGGGTGCTGGGAATAAAGGCGTGCACCACGGTGCTTGGCTGCACACATAATGCATGTAAGTATGATGGGGATGCAGCTTGTTGGTAGACTGCCTGGCACACAGGAGGCCCTAGCACTGCAAGTTAAGCATGGTGGTGCCTGTGATTCTAACACTAGGGAAGTAGCAGTAGAAGGATCAGAAGTTCAAGGTCGTCTTTGGCCACGTAGTGAGGTTGGGGTCAGCCTGGGTTACAGGAGATCCTGTTTCAAAAACAAAACATAGCAAATGGTGTACCTTATTGTTCTTTTCCAGTCCCAAATCTGAGACTCTGAGTCTTCGGTACCCATCATGGTCGCCGTCACGGCACACATGCGTACTCAGCTCTGTGCGAATTCCTTCCTTTGAGAAGCCGACCTGGGGGCTTCACCCACCGTCCACCCGCAGAGGCATCTACAGGCGTTGTGGGACCACCTGAATTGTGTCACCAGGGAAAAACTGCAGGAAAACAGCCAAGGACCAGCATTTGCTGTGCGATGTGTTGGGGCCCTGTGGATCTCAGGGTCACACCCACAGGTAAGAGTGTTCCCTCGTGGGAGTGGTAAGCAGGCTTGGTGTCAAGGGAGACACAGCCTGGGGGTGAAGGGGCAGTCGGTGGTGGAAGGCGAAAGGAGAAGCCCAAGAGTTCCTCAGGTTCTGAGTGTCACATCTGTCCCTCCGACTGGGGAAACATCTCAGATGGCCTTAATCAATTCACACCGCTCATAACCACCTGTGTAACCTCAGCTGTAGGGGGTCCGATGCCCTAATCCGGCTTCCTCAGATATCTGGGCACACAGAGACACGCAAGCAAAAATAAATCTTTAAAAAATAGATGATCTCTGCTTTTGTACTAGAAGAGTTCAGCCATTTTGATGCATTAAAAGTCCTAGCAATGCACTGCCTGATCCACTTGCTAGTTTCGCGATAATGAGATGTATGAAGGCGTCATTGTCCCTCCCGGGTTTTTGTCTAGTTACCCTGAAGTTCCCACCTGTCACTTTTCTTGTTCTACACTCAGCAAAGTGATTTTCTTCTTCTTCTCCCCAAGTAACTGCAAAGTTGTTCTACTATTTACTTTCTTTTATTTTCTTTCTTTCTTTCTTTCTTTCTTTCTTTCTTTCTTTCTTTCTTTCCTTCTTCTTCTTCTTCTTCTTCTTCTTCTTCTTCTTCTTCTTCTTCTTCTTCTTCTTCTTCTTCTTCTTCTTCTTCTTCTTCTTCTTCTTCTTTTTGTTTTTTTGAGACAGGATTTCTTTGTGTTGCTTTGGAGCCTGTCCTTGTACATCAGAGACTGGCCTCGAACTCACAGAGATCCCGCCTGCCTCTGCCTCCCGAGTGCTGGGATTAAAGGCGTGCGCCACCACCGCCCGGCTACTTTCATGTAAAGCTAACAAATAAACAAAACAAATGAACAAACAAAAAACTTGCCTGGCATAAATGAAGCTCTGGGTTTGCCTCCCAGTACCTCAAAAAGAGATTGAACTAATACATTTTATTTTTAATTAATAAAGTCAAAATACCTGTCTAGAGTGGTGGCAAACACCTGCCATCTCAACACTTAGGAGGTGGAAGCAGAATGAGTTCAGCGCCATCTTCTACCACATAGTTAGATGGGGGGAAGACCCTATATCAAAACATAGGAGAGTTGTAAAGGAAGGCAGAGGGAAGAGGAGAAAGTTTCCAAAAGGGCCTGTCTATGTGAAAATGGAGCGATCTTGCACTTGCTCCCCTGCTTTGAAGTACGGGGTCAGCGCGGATGCAGACGCAGATGTTGCCCAGGGCCGTACCAGCCAGCTCTGTCCCCATTTCCCTAGGCGACCAGGCCTGGGACACAGAGGATTAAGGAAAGGAAGCCGCTTCATTCCTGGACAGGTAAGATCCATTGTAGATTTTCACTACGCCTGGAGGATCGGAGGAGGCGATCTCGCAGGCTTTCCAGACTTTGAGAGTTTTTAGATCCTCTGTAGAAGACCGGCCTGAGCAGACATTTAAGATTGCAGGTTGCCCTGCGGAAATTGGAATCCCGGAGCGCCCCCTAGTGGAGACACTCGGGCATGACCATGCACCCGGTGTGGTCGGGACCAAAACCAACCTGGATTGAGGAGGGGCAGCAAAGACTTTTTCAAAGGGCAAGAACACCCGCCTACTTTGCTTTTCATGCCCC